TGATTTGCCCATATACAAATTTGGGTTCGAGTTTTCTTTTTCATAAAAAAAAAGTATTAATGTGTTTCCAAAATATACATTCATTTTAAAATACCTACAGAGAGATACAAAAACAAGAAACTATATTAACAAATTATACACACTATGAAAATCATAACACAATAATTTGAAGTTTTTCATTTTGACAAACAGCAAAATTCGCCTCGAAATCAACTACTCCGGTAACACCACCTTGTATGAATTCGCCTTGAAGATGTATTTAATAATTAGAAAAAATTCGTTAATTTTTTAACTTCAGGGAATGCTCTTTTTTCCGCTTTGAATTGCAAAATGAATTAAAGAAGTAGAGAAAAACAAGGCCTAATATTTTAGAGGTAAGAAGAAATTGGCTCGACTGCAAAAATACGTAGTATTTTCGTGTAAACTTAACACATTTAAACGGTGTCAAGCCAGGGCTCAATCACCATTCGATGACAATTCAAAAGGATATTTATGAAAAAAAAATCAGGCATTTGTTTTAATTCGATTCGTTTTCATTTGTTCTAATCCTTTTGGAAACACTCTTTGACCCGAATTGCAAGTTGTGAAACTGTTTTGCCTATATTCTCGTTACGCTGTTTGTAATAGCGCCAACCAAATTTATTATGATTGATAACTTATATGAAATTTTTGATGTATTGCAGGTGCCACGAATTGATCCATGTGAAGTGTGCCTCTGCATGGATGGCGAAATATTTTGCTGGTGGGAATTATGCGGTAAGTGTATATGAAAAATTCAACCTCTAAACTTTAGCAAAAATGTTGCATCAACACGAAATATAAATAATGTATTTACACTGATAATTTTAAAACAAACGACATTCTAAAAAAACAAGGATTTCTATTCAAGCCCTTAAGTCCTGCCGAGTGTTTCTCAGCCTGTCGTGTCTTAACACATCAGTCTCACAAAAAAAAGAATGCATACACCCATACATACCCTGCAGCGAGTGGCGTTAGCTTGTACCTAACTTTAGTCTGTTTACGCGAACACTAATGCTAACTATTAACTGCATTTAGACCTGGATACCTCAGCATTACATGTCAACTAACTTATAACTAACTACTTTTGGACATGAAATTTCATTAAAAAGCATTTTGTTATTTTTATTTTTTATTATGTTTTTTGCATTCTTATTTATTTAATTTACTTCAAACAATGGTTCACTTAGCAATGAACAATGCTAACTTGACGCAGAGAGTTTGAATGGAAAACTTATCGTAAAGAAAATACATTTCATTTCCAACATTCGCGACGGGAGCGTCAAGTCTGACAAAGTTAATTTTTCTTTTACTACTATTATTATTTTTTCATTTTAATATTAATATGGAATTTATTTTTACGTTGCATACATACATACATACATTTTTGATTGAGTGATTTTTATTATTCTGAAGTTTTCTTTTATCTTTTTTTCCTTGATTTGCCATGCGAAAGCAATGAAGTGGCTAAGCGGATCATAGACGCTTCATTGGACAAAGTCGCTCTCTAAAGCAACCTATTTTTGGAAATCAACACATTAGGCAACACAAGCTGTTGAATTTCTTCAAAAAGCGCTCCCACTCCATTTTTAAGAGGCTGAATTGAGTGCAAAAGACAATTAATGAAAAGTAAAAATGGTACAAAACGCATGACGAAGTTTTATTTAAGTCGTAGGAAAAAAGTTTATAAACTTGCTACTTAGAAAATCTCTTAAGCCCAAACAACGTATCTTTAAAATGTAGGCCCAACGGTTAATTAATACAGGTCAGTCCTAGGCGGCTACTCTGTAATGCGATACGAAAGAAAAATGTGATGCGATAGGCAATCGCACAGCGTATTACTTACGATGTGTTTGCCTATCGCATCGCATTGCTTTTTCGTGTCGCATTATAGAGTAGCCCCCTGAAAGCGGAATCTGCTGGTGGTAGCAGAGAAGTGGTAGAATGCCTCTTCTGCGATGGAGAGCCCAAGTAGAGAAGGACTCGGCTTCACTTGTCATATCCAATTGATGTCAGTTGGCACAGACGAGAAACGACTGGCGTGCTTTGTTGAACTCGGTTAAAATTGCTTGGGCGTTGTTGCAGCGCCAAACAGGAAGAAGAAGCCCGCTTACGAGGCACAATTAGTTTTTTGATGAAGCACTTAAGCCTTGCACACACTCACACACATATCTCAATATCTACAAAAATTGTAGGATCACCAGTGAAGGAAAACTCAAATGCTGTCTATACGTTGTTATCAGATTCCCACCATCGCACAGTGGGAAATTGTTGCCATAAATAAATTTAAAGTTACAGTATTAGTAAAACTAGCATTTTACAGCGACCGACAGACATCACGTATGATTAGAAAGAGTAAACGGAGCCCAGAGTTGAGCAAAAATGATGCCATTCTATATATATAACCTGCTACGAAATGTTAAGTTATTAACGTACATACATATATACTTTAATTATATACCAAAATATAGCAATTAATTTCTTCTATTCAACAATTTTTATTGAGCTCGAGGCCGATTTTAAATGAAAATCAATTGTGGACAAGCAATAATAATTTTTATTTTTGTGAAAAAGTTTTAGAAGTGATAGCTATTTCGGAAATCACCACATTTCCTCATCAGACTTCTTTCAGTAGGATTCCAATCGACGATACCACTGACTCAGCTAATAATTGTATTATTAGAATGTTTAACTTTTAGGTGTGCTCGTCCTTGGTTCGTCGGTTCGAATCCTACTGAAAGAAGTCTGATGAGGAAATGTGGTGATTTCCGAAATAGCTATCACTTCTACCATTTTTTCAAATTATTGTTGCTTTTTCACAATAAGCTTTTCATTAAAAACGGCCTCAAGCTCAATAAAAATTGTTGAATAGAAGAAGAAAAATTTTAAATGCGTTAGTCGCATGAAATACCCTACTATATTATCTGCCTTCTTCTCTCGCACAGTAAAACATATACTCTAGTGAAGAGTTAGAAAGTGGGGGAAAAGAACAAGATTTATAAAAAAAAGAGAAAAACAGCGACTTAAACATGTTTTGACATTTAAACCGCTTCAGAGGCTTTTAACTCGCATTTCAAATGCAGATTGCGGCGACACGCTAAAATGTCGCGGTGCTTGTTAAGTGTGCGTTTATACGTCCGTGTCAAAATGAATCGATTTAAGTTCACACGTATTAATGCATCGTATAAACACCGTAAATAAAACTTTCTATGCACGAAGCAGCCCAAAGAAAAGCAGAAACCGTTAAACATTTTTTCACGGAACTTATCTTTGTATGGACAAAATAAAAAAGTCCTAGCTAATTTTAACTTTGCACTTTATTATACTGAAATTGCTGGTCTACAAAACTGCATAATCAAATTCTTTCTGAAAAATCGAATTAGAAAGCTCGCAATTGTTAGGATATTTAGTCGAACTTTCTTAACTTTTGTACAAAGATTGAAGTTTGGACATGCATGGTTTTTGACAGATAACGAGGTAAGCTCTTATAAAAAAAATAATAAAAACTAGCAGATCCGGCGAACTTCGTCCCGCCCAAAATTAATATTTTTATTGAAACATTTTGGTCAAAGATTTTCACCAACAATTCACGGTCACGATTTATATGCTAATATTATGGTTTGGTGGTCGGAAGGCATACTTCCAAGGCAGTCTTAAATAACCCAACGAAAGTGTAATGTCCGCGAAGAAGTTCTTGGAATTTCCCCCAGTGATCTGGCGTTCCACATCACAGTTAATCGTACAGCGAAATAAATTTGAAGAATTTTTTCCTCTTCACTCCCTGGCGGCAACAATGATCCAGCTCGATGGCGAATATCTCTTTGAAACAGTATAAGTATAACTCATGGCAATTTCAAAATGGCTGGCATGGCTACATAGACTTATTTCAGACGAAATACATTAAATGCATCACAAATACGAAGTTTTAGTAGTAACTCGACTCCTCAGCTACTTGGCGGGTGAATTTTTTAACCCTACCTGGCAGGTCAATTGTCAACTGAAACTATCCAGAGACTCCCTCAAAAACACACAACGCCCCATTTTCAAATAGTCGCACTTGTCTCCATGAGTATGCCATTGCTTTCATATATCTCCATACCATGTTCGAGTCCTCAGCCTCCATCCTTGGAAATTCTGCAGTAGGTGTACGAAATTTCAAAAAAAAAAACGCTACAGCCATTATCGAGCTTTGCGAACAGAAAAAAACGGCTTTCAAAAAAAAAAGTAGATTAAATAACTTCTCATAAAAATGCAATCGCCGTTCGGCGTCGGCGTAAAACTCTCCTTGTGCAACAACATCAAGGCGCACACCTAAAATCAGGGGAGAAAAACTCGGCCAAACACTAACACTTTTACGCCGACTCCGAACGGCAATTGTATTTTTATGCTGTATTTCATGGCAGAAATACACTCGGAGGTCTTGCCATTGCCTGCCGCAGTTGTTAAGAAAACACCTTTGTTCCATTTTTATTCTGACGACAAGATATATCCTATCAAAATCTGTGAAAAATGCAGTTCCGAAAACGGGTTTCTTAGGGAATTAAGGTAACGATTTTATGCTGTAGATGGTCCCATATTCGAATTCCGTCAGACATACAACCAAATTACAATAAATGGTATAAAGATTCGGCCATCTGGAAATTTTTCGTAAGGTCTGTACATCAGGTTGATTATTGTTGAGTACGTTAAAGAGATTTTAAAAATAGATGCGGGCCATCCTGGAAAGAATAGTGTACAAGTTTTTCGAATTTTACATCAATACCGGTAATTTCTTCGAAAAGACTCGTGAATACTTTATTGTTGGCCGAAACAAATCTACATTTCTTGTTTAAGATTTTTCTTCTAGCGTCATTATTTTGCATGTTAAGTCGAAGTTCAGACACGACTTAACAACTCAACTCGAAGCTTGTAGGGAAGAGAGCGACGAGGAAAGGGGACGGGTACCAAGTTGTTCGTACTCGGGCAACACGCTTTGTGCTCTCGTTCTTCTGAGTAATTCAAGTTGGATGTTCACAGCCAGTGTTGCCAGGTCTTCGGCATGAGAAAACGTCCCTCTTGGTCTGAAAAAAGTCATTTCCTACCCAAAAACGTCATTTTCAAATGGATGTACAAAAAATTGTTCTTATTAAACTTTTATTGTATACAAAGGTACATATCGAGCCCTAACCGCCAAAATAACGTAAGCGACATTTTTTTCAAAATTTTCTTTTTGATGCAGAAATACATCTATGTAGATGCCCTAGGGATATTTCTGCATCAAAAATAAAATTTTGAAAAAAAATTTCGCTTACGTTATTTTGGCAGTTAGGGCTCGATATGTACGTAAGGTATATTAAAATTTCATTTCGGCAGAGCACATTTAGAATTCATTTTAAACTGGTTTGAGATCGTTAATATAGAAATGATGTTATACATACACTTGTGATAAGCTGATTAAGTCATCAACATTTTGATCGATTTTGGCTATTTTTCTTTTGTTTATTTAATGTTTATTATTTTTCCATAAAAGCCAAGCTCATTATATAACAAACAAAATATAAATCGACATTTAAAACTTTGTGCAAAAATTATAAAAAATCTGCAAAGTTTCAGCTATATTTTCAAATTTTATTCAGATTTTTTTTAATTTTTTTGAGTATGCAGTTTGTTAGCCCATTAAATTTCAGGGAATAATGTGCAAGTTTAAAGGGGCTACATAATCGCGTTGATTTTTAATAATGGTTTTTTTCTTATAGAGATTTGGTTAGGGGGTCGGTTGTCGAAAATGCTAAATTACGTTCTGCTAAGAAGGAGCATAGCAATATTTCAGCCCTTTTTGCGTTCATTACATTTTCAATGAAGTCTTAAAAAAGTCGCCTACTTTTTTCTGACTTTTTATGCTGCTACAGCTTTTTTGTTGCTTTTGCGAGCATGCGTGTTGCAATAGATCAGCTCTTCCTGATGTCTCGTGACCTCAAGTGTTTACACAACCAGCTTTTGTCCAAGAATCCAAAAAAAGTGCGCGTACACTTGGTTTGCATCATATTTAAGTCATCTGTGTCCAAAGAATAAATATCTTTTGAAGCAGCTGCTGCAAAACACAAAGCTTGTAAGGATTTACTAAGAAAATAATTCAAAAACAGTTCTACTTACAAGATTTAGTAACGCAGAAAAATTACTGAAAAGTTAAAAAACGTCATTTTTTACACAAAAAACGTTCAAACGTCAACAGGATACAAAAAACGTCCAAACGACGTTAAAAACGTCAACCTGGCCACGCTGTTCACAGCTGACAACAACAATTGCGTACAGAAGAGTTGCCGTGTGTGAATGCAAAGGGTAACACCAAAAGAGAAATCGCCAATAATAAGCAACACGAGTTTCCGTTTCTGAACGCAGATTAATGAAAAATTTTTGACATTTTTTTCATTTTTCGACAGTGGAGTCTCCTAGAGCCGCTCATTGAACGAAAGTAATATACCTTCCAATATATACATATGTATGTATATATGTATTTTGTAGAGAATTTTCTGCTCCATGTTCTGATACTTTTATTTTCTTAATAGGATTCATTTAAAATTAGTTCTGCGCGTATTTTGGCGGTAAGTTCAAAACTTTCTGCTGTTTTTCATTAATTAATAATATTAGCGAAATATCTTGACCTCCTACATTTAGACAAGTTGTTTAGCGTAACTTTCTGAACATTTTGGTATAAGTCCAATCCCGCGCACTCTATTTATTTGAAGCCTCACATATATTTCTTGCAGAAGTGTGAATACGAATTGAATACATATTTCCACCTTTACGGAATTTATAATTTAATGTACGAATATTGTTCTAAAACAAAGGAGATACATCTTTATTATTCTTTCTTCTTTTCTTCTCTCACTTTCAGCCAAAAAGCCTACAAATCAAATCAAAAGCGACTATCGTTCAAACTCACAGTTAGACACTTCAACTGCCAGATTGAATGAAATGAGCAGCACTTCAGGCACGACAGCACATCCCACCGTAGGCATGATGCAACAGCAACAACAGTACCAACAGTCACAGTCCTATGCCACTAACCTAGATGTAAGTTCATCGAAACACGACAACAACAAAAATTACCAACAACAAGTGGAGGAAACCCCCGTAGCTACTGCCGCCATCGGTGGTACCAAATCGTTGCAGCATACCACGAAATCATGGCAAAAGAAGAAAACCTATCAACAGCAACAAAAACAAAAGCACGAACAACAAAAACAACATCAACACAAGCACACACATGCCAACGGAGCAGCAGCTGAAAATACGCCTTACTACACTTACCACCCATCGTCGCCAGTGTCGGCTAGCAAAATTCTGAGTTTCCCAGAGAATTTGCCATCGGTGTTGTATCACGACTATCGTACCGAAGAGCATCAGCATCACCAACATCAACATCATCAGCAGCATTTGAAGCATCAGCAAAAGAAGCTCCAACTACAAATACAACATCAGCAGGAGCAACAACAAAAACGCAAACAACAATTGCAACAATATGGGCACCGCAGCGCTTGGAAAAGCAACACCCATCAGACAACACTGTATCAACACGATATTTTTGAGGCAAAATCAGTAGGAGCGAGTGCATATGCCTCATCGCCGTCATTGTATGTCGGCAGCGACAACAGCGACAACGGCTACATGGGCTTCAACGCCGACTGGGGACTGGTGGGCGGTAATGAAAATGTCTACGATGATACGGAGATAGACAGCGACATTCTGCCTGAGCCACCCACAAAGAAACCGAAAATGACAGCGACAACAAGCGCCGTCATGGCAACAATGATTGCTACAGCAACAACAACGAAGGAAGCAACCGATGGCCTGGCTGTAGGAAACACAGATTTAGGTACAGCTGCGACAGCAGCTG